AAGAGAGTCACAGACTTAGTAACATCATTGAATCAATAGGAACGCCATTTAATTATATAAATAACACTATCAACTGCCTTCTCCAGACTTCTTTTTATGTGAGAAAAATAAACTCATATCCTAGCTTTCACAGTGAAATTTGAACTTTTGTCCATATTTTGGTGACCACTTTGGAATCTCTTTCTTGGTTCATCAACTTACGACCTCCCACTCTACCTCTCTCCCTAATCCCCCGCTGAAATTCTCACTCTGACACTGACCTTTTTACTCAGTATATGTCCTTGCCTCCAACAATACCTGACGTTCCACGCTAAGTCAACTCATCCTTTTCACTTACCTCTCCACTGAGGACTGGACATTGTCAGTACAGCCTAGATTCTTATGACCTTGTCCTAAATGAGTGACATAGTTTCATGGTCTACTTGGTCACCCTGCTTTCAGTCTCTTCCAATTGTATTCTATAGCAGATACTACCACCAAATATATATATACATATATATGTGTGTGTGTGTGTATATATATATATATAAAACATATATATGTATTTAATAATTATTATTTTGAGCCCGAGTCTCTGTCTGTTGCTCTGTTGCCCAGGCTGGAGTGCAGTGGTGCTATCTTGGCTCACTGCAACCTCTGCCTGCCAGGTTCAAGTGATTCTCCTGCCTCAGCCTCCCAAGCAGCTGGCACACACCACCATGCCTGGCTACTCTTTGTATTTTTAGTAGAGATGGGGTTTCACTATGATGGTCAGGCTGGTCTTGAACTCCTGACCTCCGGTGATCCGCCCACCTCAGCCTTCCAAAGTGCTGGGATTACAGGTGTGAGCCACTGTGTCTGACCTCAAAAATATTTTTATAAGGAACATTTGGTAATCAGCACAGATAGTCTCAAAAGAAGATAAGCACAGATTACTCAAAATTCTCAATGACTCTCTAATGCCTACCACACTAGACATTCAAAATGCTCCATAATATAACTTCAATCCAAAATTTTCAGTCTATATGACACAATATTTTACTTAACCTATTTATTGGTAAATGGAATATTATTTTTTAGGGTCCTTTTTAAAACTTACTTTTAATTGACAAATACAAATTATATATACATATATTTGTGATATATATATTGTTTTGAAATATGTATACATCATGGGATGGCTGTGATGGCTATTTCAGGCTAATTAACATTTGTATTACCTCATATCCTTATCTTTTTTGGTGAGAACACAATGTACTCTCAGCAAATTTCAAGAATACAATACATTGTTATTAACTGTGGTCACATTGCTGTACAGTAGAACTCTATTCCTCTTATGTAACTGGAAGTTTGTATCCTTTGACCAACATCTCCCAAAACCCCTCCCCACCAGCCATGGGTCACCAGCATTAAATGCTCTACTTCTATGTATTCAACTTTTAAAAATTCCACATGTAAGTGAGATCATGCGGTTATGTATCTTTCTGTGCCAGCCTTATTTCACTTAACATAACGTCCTTCAGGTTCATCCATGCTGTTGCAAACGAAAAGATTCCCTTCTTTTTAAGGTTAAATAGTATTCCATTGTGTATACCACATTTTTTAAAAACACAAATGGAATATTATTGTTCCTTAACTAAATCCTGCCATTTTCTACTTGGATCATATTGTTTATACTATTTCCTCTTCCTGGAATATGTAATGTCTTGCTCTTCAACGTATCCTCTAAAGATTACCCATTTATCAAATTCTAGCTCAAGTGTCACCTCTTCCACAGTTGCCAGCACTCATTTAAAATGAAATAATTTTCACTTTTCTAGCACCTCTTGGTATATCTATTTGAGGCATATAACATATAACCACACAGTTTTCTTACTCAGGTACCCATGAAATTATCAGCTTCTTGAGGGCCATAATGATATAACAGTATTTTATTCATACATTCAACAAATGTTTATTGGATATTCACTATTCTATGTGAAGGTGGTATGAACAAGATAGAGAAGAACCTTGTTTTTATGGAATAGAGGATCTAAGGAGGGAGGGGGGCATATTTTATAGATAATGAGCAAGTAAATACATAAACAAGATAGAATAATCTCTGCTTTAGATTGAGTAGTTAAAGAAGTTCTCTCAGAGGAGGTGATATTTGATACGAAGTTTCAAGAATAAGAAGAACCCAATCACAAGAAGACCACAAGAAGACCAGGCAAATGGAAAGCTGTTGAGTTGGGTGAAAGTGCAGTGGAGGACAGTTTGGTCGAGTGTCGTAGGTGGAAGGGAGACTAGTGTGAGATGAGCTGGTGGGAATGGGCAAGAGCTAAGCACAGCAGGTTGGATTTCATTCTAAAGTTTTACACAGGAGTAACATGATCTAATTTCCAAGTCAAGTGATCTCTCTGCCTGCTGTGTAGAAAATGGATTATACAGGGTTAAGAGTGGAAATAGAAAGATTAATTGGAAAGCCACTGAAGTAATCAAGAACATGAAAGTAAGTCGAACTTGGTAGTTAGTAGAAAAGAGAGATAAGTGGACACATTTGTTGTGTCTATAGTATTAAGCCCAGTATCTTAAAGATGGTAGCTGCTCAATATATACTGCTGAATATATGTCCAAGTACTTAAAAATAGTCTCACATTCTTAATTTCCATATGATCTTCAAGTTTTTCCTGCTTTGATTTACCTCTTATGGCTTAATTTATTCCCACTGGATACTTGGGGAGTCAAAGAGAAAAAACTTCCAAATATTCAAGAAAATGATAAAGGTCTCATAACGGAAATTCACCTGACAAAGAGCTGACATGATGGAGTTTGGAGTTCATATTGTTAATTGTGGGAAGAAATAAACTATTGGAAACAAATGGTAAAAAGCGTAATTCAAAATCTGCAACAGGATGAAAATGGACAGGGTATTGGAATACAAACTCTAGATTTAAAAAAAGAGAGCCTTTGGTCATTATCAGCAAGAATACTGTGCCTAAACAGAGAATGTGGGTAAAATTAATTTTCATTAAAATTGGAGATGTTTCCAACTCTTACTTTTGATGTTTTTTGAAATATAGAACCTTCATCTTACTATCTTGATATGATCAATTTCCTAATATGTAGTTAATACTATCTTACTAGATAGTAATGTTTATAAAATTCTAAGAGCACTGAATGAGACCTGCTTGGAATCTGAGAAAAGACAGGTGAGTCAGTGGGTTTTCATTCTCTTTCGCCTCTACCTTCCAGGACATTTAGATTTGTACCCATGAAGATTCATCCTGTATTAGGAATTCAATCCAAATTCCTTCAATACAAAGCAAAATACAGAGGAAAATGAGATCACTTTTTGCCACTTTCCACCTGAAATGCTACATGGGCTCTGAATTGAGTGAAACTTGGCCCCATTCAGTGTGAAAACTGGCTGAAATCTGTATGAAAGGCAGTCTGGGTTTGTCGAAGTAGTTCATGAACTTTGGCCAAACTTTCAAGGAACCTGGTCCAAGTCTTAGTTTGTAATGCAACATGAAACCAGGTGAATTTCAGATGGTTTCAGGTTTCATCCTGAAAATTTGGCCTAGCTTTATAATCAATCATCACTCTTTGTAACGATGAAAGCCAACACACCTTTTTGAAAATGAGGACTGCATGCATACTGATGACAGCTAAGTTGTGAACCACCCTTCACTTCCTTTGCCAAAAGAAGATTTCTCAGAATGGAAACAGTTTCCCTCTTACCTGGAAAGGGGAAGTTGAGTGATTTTGATATTGCGTGTAGAAAGAAATGATACTTGATATGAAGAGACATGTCATGTGAAATAATCACCACATACGGAGCAAATGGCTGTATTCTAATCACTTAAGGTTGTAAGAGTCTTATTTTCTTCACATCCATGACAGTGGATAACGTGGTGTTTAATCTCCTAAAATGAGCTTTTGGCGTGAAGCTAGTCCTCAGGCAGAGTAACTGCCATGAGAAACAAAATGCTGTGAAGCATAACCAGTATTTCTATATGAAGAAGTGGCTGAAGAACAAAAGGGAAAGTATAACAAATCAGAGCATAACTCTTATCTTGTTTAAGAAACATGAGGAGATAATGCAACTACAAACCTTTCAAGTTTGCATCAACTGCATCTTTTGCAAAAATATCTCTATGCAGTATAAATGCACTTAATAAGCAACCAGGCACAGTGAATTTTACAGAAAGACCTACATAGTTTCTGTTTTCAACTTGAAAGTTTTAAATAAGCCTTTCCACTGTAAAAAATTACTCTATTCAACTAAATACTTGCTTTTGTGCATAGTGACATGAGAAAATTGAGAGGTATGTTGAATGGAGCCACTACATCATTGAAACAGTATGTCTGAACATTTGGGTAATAAGGCACAGATGTGAAGTACAGGACTTGGCACTACCAAGGTAACAACAAAGCATTCACCATTGTGTTATAATGGCTAAAAGGGCCACATCTGAGAAGCTTAAAAGAATGCTCCCTCCTCCCTCCAGTGCTAAATTGTATTACACCTTTTATGTGCTTAAAAATCTACAAAAGCTAGAAATTCAAACAAGTATTATGCAAACTTATGGCAAAGAACAAATATGTAAAATGCATTGATAATTTTATCTGCAAAAAAAAAATTTATGCAATAGCACGTAAAGTTTAACTGCAGCAAAAGGCCAAATTCAGTAGAAATTCATATGGCCTCTATGTTGCGAAACAATTCATGCAAATCTGAAGGACTCAACAGTCACTGGCAAGGTGGCTGCTATTGACTCTTAAATGTGATTCTGGCCCTTAGTCAGTATGTCTAACTATTGTAGAATTTTCTACTTATAGGCATCAAGTAAAGATAATGCAACAGAATACATCCAAATTGTTAATTAGTTTTTTTCACTTACAAGTGGTATGGTATTTTTGCCAGCCATTACTGAACCATGTGGCACAAAGGCAATTATGAAGCTGGGGTACTTCCATTCAATAAATTTGGAGTTAGAAACTAATCTTCTGCCCAGGATAGGTAGAGCACAACTTACCCGAGGTCCCTGATCACCTTGTTCTCCCTGTAGAATAGAAAGGTGAGATAACAGTTTTAGCCACAACGTATACATGATGCTCATTAAAAAGATCAAAATATAACACAGTATAGGTCATGCCAATATGGATCTCCACTAACTTTATTTCTGGTATGCATTTTCTTACCTTATCACCTTTTGGACCAGGAGGGCCCTGGAAAAAAAGAAGAGAAAAATATTTTAATTTAAAAAAGATATTGTAAACTGAATAGATCAGTCAGGTTAGTCGAAAGATTCATTCAAAGAATACAGAGATAGCTGTCAATGAGGTTTCACAAGAAATTTTGGTTTCTAAACTATGATCATATTAGAATGTGAAACATATAACCATATATGTTTGTTCATATATACCTGTACATATCATGTCATAAGTACATAATATGCTGAATAAATTTTCACGAACTCAACACATATATGCAAGTAGAACCCAGTTAAAGAACCCGAACATTACTTACAAGTTAGAAGCTCCTGTTGGGACATTTCCTTGTCACTACCCTCCACCAACAGTAACCACTATTCTGACCCCTGACAATATAGATTAGCTTGCCTGTTTTTGTACTTTATGTACATAAAATCACAGAGTCTGGCCTCTTTTGCTTAATTAGTGTGAAATTCATCCATAATTTTGTGTGTAGTGGTAGATTGTTCTTACTGCTTTATAATACTCCACTGTGTGAATATATCATCATTTACTTATTCATTCTACTGTTGGCAGCCATTTGTTTCCAGGAATTTCTAGGTCTTGGCTATTATAAAAATATTGTTATGGCCAGGTGCAGTGGCTCATGCCTGTAATCCTAGCACTTGAGGAGGCCAAATCAAGTGGATCACCTGACGTCAGGAGTTCAAGACCAGCCTGGCCAACATGGTTGAAACGTCATCTCTACTAAAAATACAAAAATTAGCTGGGTGTGGTGGCGCATGCCTGTGATCCCAGCTACTTCGGAGGCTGAGGCAGGAGAATTGCTTGAACCCGGGAGGTGGAGGTTGAGGTGAGCCGAGATTGTGCCACTGCATTCCAGCCTGGGCGACAGAGCAAGACTGTCTCAAAAAAAAAAAAAAAAAAAAAAGGTGCTACAAACATAGTAATTCACATTTTTTGTGAAAAATTATATTCATTTCTGCTGGGTGTATATCTAGAAAAGGAACTGTTTAGGTTATAGACTATACATATGTTCAGTTTTAGAAGATGCTACCAAATGGTTTTTCAAAGTGATTCTTACCATTTAAGCCCCGTCAGTGATGTACAGAATTTCAGTTGCCCCATATTACCAATACTTGATATTTTTTATCTTTTTCATTTTAGGCATTCTGGTGGTGATGTAGTAATTTCGCTTCATGTTTTAATATGTATTTACCCAGTGATCAGTAAATTGAACTCCCTTTTAATACACTTATTGACCATTTTGCATCCTTTTTCATAGTGTCTCTTCATACCTTTTGTCCTTGGCCTACTGAATCGTCCTGTTGATTTGCTAGAGTTCTTTATCTATTATATATTATACATTGTACATATGTATGTAGGTAGATGTAGAGTTATTTATATATTTTGAATGAGTCTTTTGTCAGATATATTTACTGCAAATATATCTTCCCACTTTGTTTACTGCCTTTACATTCTCTTAGAGGTGTTTTTGATGAATACCTCTGAGTTCTTAATTTTAATAAAACTTCAATTTAACATTTTTTATCCTTTATAGTTGTCCCTTTTTATATTCCACTTAAGAAATCTTTGCCTACTTCAATGTCATAAAGAGGGCTATGTTTAGTTTAAAAGCTAAAAGCTTCATTATTTTATCTTTCATATTTAAATCTGAATTTATTAAGAACTGATTTTGTGTATGATGTTAGGTAAAAGTCAAGATGTTTTTTTAAAATGTGGATATCAAATTAACCAAACACCATTTCTTGAAAATGTACCTTTTCCCCATTACAGTACAGTATTACTTTTGTCATAAGTTAAGTGATGCTATATATGTGGCTTTTTACAGGAATTTCTATTTTGTTGGGCAGCTGTCTATTCCCGGGCCTCACTGAGATCTTCTTTACCTTTGAACAGAAATACTAATGCTAGAGGCACTGATTATGTTATCTTTTCTAGCTCTTAAAGATAAAGTCATGTTTTGGTTTCAGCCCACCTGAGGAGCTGGAGCATTTCAGAGTCACCTTCTCTCACCTCCATTTTCAGCAGGGCTGAGGAAAAAGGACAAGGCTGGACAGGAAATGGGCCCAAGTTCTAGCAAAGTACCCCATCCTAGGTGCCAGTGGAGACTCTATGTCACTGCAGGTGGGAATGTAGCAATGCTCCACCTTCCAAAACATTTCCTTCTGCTAAGTACCAGCTACAGAAGAACTGCACCAAATTCTCATTCTCAGTGTGGCCCTTCTGGTAACAGCTGTGAAATTATCATAAAATTACTAATAACTACACCATGTCCTATGCTTTGTATCTTTTACCATTGATAAAAAACTTTTGCACCTGTTATTGCATTTAATCTTTTCCACAATCCAATGAGGAAAGTATTATGAAAATCCTTTTACAGACACCAAAAATGAAACTCAAAGACTATCAATGTTAGGCTTCTTGTGAGTTAGCCAGGACTTTAACCCAGTATGTGTGACTTTGAATGCAGAGGTTTTGACACAAAGTATTGGAACACAGCTCTGGAACTAGAGTCTCAGAAAGAAGGATACCTATCTGGTGCCTGCCTTCAACAAGGGCCATCTAAAATGCCTCCCACTGCATTTTCCATAGTGTCACAGACACTGGTCGCAACGTCTCAAGTTCAAAATGAGAGAAAGGAGAACTGAGGAGGAGTGAGGAGGGGGAGAAGGGACTAAGATAATGGAATCAACTTTATAAAACCTTTTTATCTCTTACCCCCAAAATCATTTTGCCATTTAAAAGAGGAAAGAGAAAAAATTTTGTTTTCAATAAATTTTTAACATTTTTATTGTTTTCCGTGAATCAAGTAGTAATTAGTGAGTACGGTCTGTGTGTTCATCTCTGGAAAATTAAGTTTAAGGACTTTATTCAATTATTTTTAACAAATGCAAAATGCTTACTAAGGTTATACAAGTAGCATTTTATTTGCGGTGGGGCAGATGAAAGCCAAAGAAAAGAATAATGAGAGGATATCACCAAATTTAAAAAATACAATCGAGGTTCTAGTCTTGATTTAAGTAGCATGTTAGTTAACTTTATTTTGATTTTTACATACATTTGTTGAATGTCTATACAGTGTGGCAACATTGTAAGCACTGGTGGGACACATATGTTGGGAAAGGTTGATTTGGAAAGACATGGTCCCTGTCCTGGAAAAGCTAAATAGCCTAGTGTCTAAGGCAAACAGTTTCCACATACTAGCATTAAGAAAAAATGACCTCCAGAAAATTCAGCTACATCAAGGTCAACTGTTACTATGGACATCTTCCCAGCCTCCATATCCACCCCCTTCCCAGGTTTCTCTTTAAACTTTTGTTTGCTTTTGCCAGTGAGATTTCAGAGGCCCCATCTCCCATTGTACCAGTCCTCTAAAGGCACCTTGTTAGGTTACACAGCATCTTTAAGGACAAAGTTTTTGTGAAGTTATTTGACAGGAACAGAGACAACCCTTTTCCTCAAAGTCCAATTACTCATGCCAAATCCACGTGTCAACTAGAGCTCTTTAGCCAGCTTACCCTGAGCAAGGATGCTTAATTCATGAACACATGAAAATTTGCACCCACAATTGAGCAATAAATATTGCTGCCTCAAAAGAGGGTGTTTCTGAGCAGACAGTATGGCGTCCTGGCACCTGCCAGCTTAGCACAGAAGCAAAGCCGAGGTCAACCTCCACACACAGCTGCAGGGGCTGCTTCGGACGCTCCAGCCCCCACTTGTGCACTTGGGATTAACAGCAGGTGTTTTCTTCTGCTCTGACTGAAATCCCACTCTTCTTTCTGAATTGGACCCTCTTCACTGAAAATATGGGTTGAATTTGCAGAACAAAGTGGGCTACCTTAGTAAACACAGATAGTATAATATTTCCAAAATTTAGAAGCCATACTTTTTTTCTAGGTCAAAAAATTACAAATGAAAGAAAGGTTTATTTGATCATTAGCCTTTAAAATTAAAATTGGGGTATTAATGATTTTTTTCTATCTTTAGCATTAAAAAAAGCTAACTAGTATTAACTAAAGGATAGGCAGCAATAAAAATTAATGGCTATTTGAATTACAAATTATTTTTCAACGGCACATTGCTGTTTCCAACTAAACCAAGCTCAACAATCTAATATTTAGTAGACATATTTATTGTTCAGGTGACAGTACCAATGGCTGGTTGGTAACTATTCGATGATAAAACTTTGTTGCTCCAACAAGGTTAGGGTCAATGGAAAGGAAAGATGGTAAAATCAGCAATCATAGGGAAGTGAATAGTGAGTCACAGCTCTATAGAAGGCCCTTTTGGGGACTCTTGTCCTGGTTTGGTCTAGAATCCAATAGTCAGGTCTTTTATAAGCCCCACTTTAATAAATAAGTAGGAATATTTGAAATGATCTTTTGAATTACTTGTGTGTAATGAATCCTAAAGTTAATCGCAGAAATAAGTACTTAAGGGTGCTAATAAAGTTTTTATTTATTATTGTTGTTAGTAATTAGAACGTTTATTTTAGGGCATTGTTGGAATGTTATTAACTTCCTACCAAAGGATTTATAAATTTCCATGGCAAACTTCAAATTAGCCCCTGTTCAAATGGCTTTACATTCAGAATCTGCAGGAACCACCCTTCTATTTGTAAAAAGTCTTTAATGTGGGTTTTGGCCTATACCAATTTAAGTCTCCTCAAACCTACTTCTGTTTAAGTAACCAAGGTTTTAGCTTTTTTTCTATCCTCTATTGTCTATTTCAATTAAATGATAAAACCAAACTGAAAACAAAGAGAGGCACAATGAATGACTTTCAGGAAAATATTGAATTTCAATCTACATAACAGCAATGGAAATACAGCTGGAAAAGAGAGATATATTCACAGGCCCGGAGTAACCCAATCATGGTCCTTTATTTACTGGAAGTATAAATTATACTTGCTTTGAACCGGAAAAAATCAAGGCGGGAATAGTTTTTAAAAGATGACAATCATGAAAACAAAATTAAATTGTGCTTGAGGT